TGCCCACCAACTTGACCTTTGCCTCGGAAAAATACTGAGCCAATAATATCTCAACTATGTTAGATGAACACGACTGTCCACAATGGTATGATATTGTCCACTTTGAGCATAAGCTCTCATGGCTTTGCTTTGGGCTTCCCCAAAAGGCCTCATACCAATGGAAAGAGTATTCTTTGATTATAAATCCATGAACGTTACCTAAATTAGCCGATATGGGACTTTCATCATCCAACATCTCCCCTCGAACAAAGTACGTCTCCCCTTAATCGAGGCTCGACTCCTTTTTCTTTTGAAGTCTTAGTCATTTTTTACTATGCCTTCGAGGAGGTTCGACTCCTTTTCTTTTGGAGTCCTTTGTTCGACATTTGAGGATTTACTAATCTATTGGCACGACTAAGTTTAGGGCATGGCTCTAATACTATGTTAGATGAACACGACTTTTCACAATGGTATGATATTGTCCACTTTGAGCATAAGCTCTCATGGCTTTGCTTTAGGCTTCCCCAAAAGGTCTCATACCAATGGAGAGAGTATTCTTTGATTATAAACCCATGAACATTCCCTAAATTAGCCGACGTGGGACTTTCATCATCCAACTATCTATAGTTATGATTTATAAACTCAAAACTACATTACTTGTAATTCTTCTGTGTTAATTCTATTTGATATGTTGTGATAATAACCCAAAACATGAGAAATAGGTACAGAGAAAATAAAGGATTCCGTGGCGATCTTCTCAAAGATATTTTAAAAAGCTTCTAAAAGAACTAAGTATAACAAAACCAAGAGAGGGAGGAGATTGCATGGAAAAGTAGCAATTCACTTTAATACAAGCCAGTTATGCTATTCTAATGATCTAATCCGTTTCTTCACAAAGCAAAAACTAAGCAGAATCAGCTTTTACAGCATTAATTTGAGAATAAATTTCAGTGCAACTACACCATGAATCAAGATCTTGGAAAATGGAAACATGTCACTTATATTATAAGCAAATTAATGTCTACACTTCACAGTAGAGTTTGTACGAACCTTCTCACACGCGACGTAAGAGCCAGATTGACGCCGACAGTCCTCTTTTGTTAAGGATGAGCAGTATTCTTTCAGTTGTGAACCACCTTTAGTTTTAAACTGGAGAACAAATTAAGAAATTGTGAATTGCAATAAGGGCATTCCTTGCTATATAATAATATATCAGGTTAGCAAATGATAAAACTAAGAACTCATACAGAAATGACAAGAACATAGCGAAATTTAAGCCATGAACAATGATTTACATCATATTTCAAGCAATCTGTGTGTGCTTAAAAGTTTAAAGCCAAGGACCTCTGAAACAAAGCAAAATTTGAATCCATGCCACAGAAAAGAAGCCATGAACGTAGATTATGTATATACTTTTCAAACAATAACCAAGGACTTAGCTAACATAAACGATAGAATCATAGCAAAATCTGAATCCATGCCACAGAAAACAAGTGATGAATCTAGATTATACCTTTGCTGCCACAGCAGTTTCCCTGGCAGTTGGGCGGTGAATTAGGTCCAAGAGCTCCTCACCAGTCTTCGACTTCTGCGATTCTCTAAACGACTTCTTGTTCAACAAGGCTTCGAGATCGTTCATGTCATCCTCCTCAGATTTAGGCTTCTGCGGCATTGAATTGGGGCCACCCATGGGCACATTTGGCCCCATCAATGGCCTGTGCAATGGTGGGAGTCCCATCCCTCTAGGCATCCCCATCATTCCCATCATCCTAGGGGCACCCCTTCCTCCAGCCATTGACCCTGCAGGTCCACTGCCCGGAAACATGGGTGATAGTCCCTGCATATTGGGGTCTCCAGGCCCCATCCACATCTCCGGCATCGGCCTCGGCATTGGCCCTCCCATCCCAAAGACTCCGCCATTGACATCCACACCACCACCACTCACCACTTGCTGGTTCTGATTATGGCCGGAGTTACCCTCTCCCGAGTTCAATTCCTGCGTCTGAAAATCAGCACTCTCAGGCAATTCCTTCATAAGTCGAGTACGATCAATCCCCAACACCATCACTCGAGACTTCCCACTCACAACAAACTCCTCCAATTCAACCCCGCCGTTATCCTCCGCCATCGACCTCAAAGCCATCTCCACCGCCAATATCGCACCGGAATCTCCCCCTAATTCTCGTAACGCCGCCTTCTCCGCCGCCGTAGCCTTCTGATCATTCTCCAATTTCCTCAACACCGTCGAAGAATCAATCGCCGTAAAATGAACCCGTTCGAGTAAACAAACCGCCACCATCGACCGCACAACCGACAAAGGGCTTCTACTATCGTCAATCGAAAATTTCCCGCCATCAGGCTGGCGAACTCGCTTACGATCGGAATTCAATTCCGGATACGACTTCGCATTCCGATTCTTCTGAATCGCGGGTTTCGCTTCTCCTGACGGAAGAAGATTAGGGCGGGATTTATGGAGCATAGCATCACTACTCGACAAAGGGTATTTAGAGGGTTTGTTCTTGGGTTCAGGGAGAACCGGTGTGGGAGTAAAGGAGCGGCCATTGAAGGAGGATACGAGCTTGAGAGAGAGATCGAGAGAAGAAACAATACCAGGAATTTGAGCTTGAACAGAAGAGAGAAGCTCCAAGTGGTTCGTGTGTTGGGCTACAATGCGAGCTTCGAGTTGCAGACGCTTGTCTTTGATGCTCGCTATGCTTTCTTCTGCGGCTTCTGATTGGGTTTCCATTGATTCTCAGCTCTGATCTCCAATGGAAGAAGACCACACCCGAAGGAGAAGAAATTGTTCCATATTTAAATTAAATATACAAAATACATACAAACTAAATAAATTAAATTTATAAATATAAGATTATTATCTCTAAATACATGAATTTTAAAAATATAAAAAAAAATTATAATCTATATTATATAATTTTTAGAAATTTTTAATAAAAAAATTATTTAGAGACAAGTTTGGAGTAAGGGGAGGATTCAAAATCTCTAGTTTGACCCCACACGATCAACTCGGCGGTTTCACACCAGCTTGAGTTTAAGCCGAGGGAATTTGACAAGGCTCGAATAATAAATATTGGTTGTGGATCGAAAAATCTTTTTTTTTTTTTTTTTTTTTTTTTTTTTTTTTTTTTTTTTTTTTTTTTTTTTT